CGTCGGGTGCTGAGGGGACAGGGTGACCGATTCGCTACGGGGCGTTCGGGGACGGCAAGAGGGAGGGAGCGAGGGGGAGAGCAGGGAGCAAGGAAATGGAGACGACAAGAACCCGTGCGGGGTCAGGGCACTTGCCTAGCCCTGCCCTGGGGCGCTGCAGGGTAGCCATGAGTCGCATCAAAACCTGTTCCAACAACTGCTATGGGTGCCCTCTGGACCTGGGGAGCTGGGGCCACCCGCCACAGAGACTGCCTCCAACCAGCTACTGCGGGGCTCCACAGGGAGTGCGTGTATATAAATATATTCTTCCATCAGACTTCAAACCTGACAAGCTGGGGAGGAAGGACAGGATCCAGCCATCCATGTTCCTCGTGTTTGTGCAAGTGCTGTGTGTTTATGTGGGAGCTCATAAAAGCGTCACTTTTAATGCCTGCGCTGGGCTGTGGGGCCATCTTTGTGCACGCGTGCGCACACGTATGTACAAGCGTGCGCACACACGTGGCAGGAGCACCTGCCCAGCCTCACTGCTCACTGGACCCAAGGACACAGAGCAGACCCTTCCTTGCACCCGCTGCGCCCCTGGCTCCAGCGCCGCGCGCGGTCCCGCGAGTGCCCGATACAATCTGCTTTGCTTCCTTGGCAGCCCGCAGAGCTGCCCTGCGAAGCGGAGGTGTAGGTGGGGGATGCCCGCGGGGTGGCTGGCTGACCTTTGAAAAGTGTCCACTGTATTTTCCAAGTAAAACCCCTGCTCTCAGCGCTCGCACAAGCCGCACATGGGGCTCAGGTGGCAGCCTGTTGCTCTCCGGAGTTGGGAGCACCATGCTGCTTGGAGCAGTAGGATGGATGGGTGCTGGGCTCCTCCAAGAGGCAGTCACAGAAAGGGGGGACCTCTGCAGAGCTCTACGCATCCCAGGTGTGGGTTTTTGGGAGATGTTTTGGGGGCCTATATGGGAAAAGGGCCAAAGCAACACAGCCAGGTCAAGCAGAGCCCCTGAAGAGCTGAGCGCTGCCGCAGGCCTGCAGTGCCCCCATGTGAAGGCTGCTCTCGTCTCATCTCCCTCGTGGCACAGCTGCTATTCTGCCTAAATTTCTTTGCCCTCTTTCAGTCCCTTAGCTGCTAGCAGCCTCTGTGGACCCTCAAAAGGCAGCGTCACCTCAGCCCAAGCTGGCACTGCAAGACAGCAGCAGCCTGAGAGCCCCATGGCCAGCTCCAGCAGGCAGCAGCCTGTGAATCAGCCTGAAGGCCGAGACTCCGAAGAAGGAATAACCTCTGCAGGCAGAAGGGCTCTGAGATGGCCCAGCATCAGAAGCAAGAGATGGTCTGGCTACAAAGGCAGTGCCTGGCCCAGGAGGGCTTATGGGCCTGTGCACTGCCTACTGCCCCAGCCCCTCTGCCCGGGAGATGCCCCTGGGACTCAGCGAGGGCAGTGGTAGGGAGAGAGATGCCCAGGGGGTGCCTATCACCTGGCAATATCCACACCTCTGCAAGGGGCAGAGGGGAAGGGGCATGAACAACAAAGCAACAGCTGACAGCAGGAAAACCAAAATGTGCAGGAGACCCTGAGGTGTCTGGGGAGAAGGGATATCCCGGACCTCAGCTCCCCTCTGCGCACAGCTCCCAACACTGCCAAGTCAGGTGTATCAAATATCCCGTATCTTAAGAGGGACCCAAGGGGATTTCAGCCCAGGGATATGCAGGGATGGAACATTTCCAATATCCTTACCCTGGCTCACCAGACAGAGACCCAAATCCTGTGTCAACCCCATGGTGGCAGCGCCAGAAGAAGGCAGGGGCTTGGGAGTCACAGCAGGGACAGGCACACTGCACAAGTGGCAGAGGTGGGTTCACAAAGTGAAGGAGGACAGCCTGGCCCCTACTGTGTCCTGGCGGGACCCAGAGTTAAGGGACAGATTGCTCATGTGGGGACAACTGCTGAGCAGCCAGGCTACCTGCTGGGGAAGACGCACGAGCTGTCCGTGGCCAGACCACCTCAAGCCGGACTGGGAGCTCCCAGGGACCTGCAAAGATACAAGGGCAAATTTGTTGCCATGAACACTCTGCAGGGGAAATAATATCCTAAAGAGAGAAAACAGGCCTGGAGAGTGCTCTGCATCCTTTCAGCAAAGCACGATGAGAGTTACCACATTCCTCAGAAGTACCAAGATAGGTTACTGCCAGCAGCTGAAAAGTGGGTCAGATCCAAGCAATACAAGCCACCCTCTAGGGTCCGGGTGGAATGAAACACACAGGGAGAGCTCTCAAGGGCAGCATGACAAGAGGTGGGAACAAGGCCAGGATGATGCTCTGCTCTACCAGCTTCATTTCAGATACCCTTGCTGCACATCACTCTAAAATGCCTCAGGTGACAAGACATCCGGTCGCAGAGGCTTTGCCTGTAAAAGATCCAAGAGGTTTCACACTAAAAAAGGGAGCTGGCAGTATTTCCGGGAGTCTCCAAAGATAGAAGCTATGGAAATGGATAGGAAAACCATGAAGAAGGTATGGGATAGGGAAAGGGCTAGCATCAGACTTCCCTTGAGACTGGGCAGGGAGTGGAAAAATGCTGCAGAGAGGTTATGAACATGCACTAGAGAAGCAGTCATGCTCAGAGGAGACTTCTTCCCATGCAGTCACATTCAGGTGATCCTCCCCAGCATCACCACCACCACCACCACAGGAATCCTGGCTGGGGGGCAGCTGCCCTCCACCTCTTTCTGTGAAGGTGTGACCAGCACCAAGACACTGTGACAACTTCCCCTAACTTTTTCTCTCTCCTCTGAAAGGAGTTCAAGCTGCTGTACTCATGCCTGAAACAAGGAGAAAAGATAAGGATGGGATGGCGTCCCTGTCTCACACCTCTGCCTTTTCAGCTTGCGTGTCCTGGCCCTATTGCATACAGCACTTAAGTAGGACTTTCTGCTTAAGTGCAGTCAGAGCTACCTCTGTGCGACTGACAGAAGCACCCAAATGGCTCTGGGAGCAGTTCCCATGAGTCAGCAACTCACCTGGCACAGCCGGATCCCGGCAGCCGCTCCCCACACACGGAGCTCCCGCCGAGCCTGCCCCACACAAAGCACAGGAGCGCGGCGTACGTAAGGTAACATTTACTGAGATACAGAACTGAGTATTATGAAGGACATACATGGATGGAGAGGGTAGCGGCACCACAGTGCAGGGCTGCGCAGCCCCTTCCCAGCACGCTGGTGGGGAAGGGCCAGACGTTACCGGACAAGGAACAACATGGAGATTACTGTGGCATATGCATTTGTAACAAACAGACCATCATAACATACATTTCTATGGGATCACATCTAGTGATTATATAAATCCATATAGAGATCACTGTATAAAAACTTTGTAAAAAATATTTTAAAAAAGTGTAAAAATGTGCATTTAAAAGCACGGCCAACAAGGACAGCTGGGCTGTAAACATTATACTGAGAGTGTGCTTGGAGGGGCGCCTGCGCCACCATGCCACGACAGGCCTGCCCACCCGGCGGGGCTTGTGTCAAGTGTGTGCGGTTCTTCGCTTCATGTTTCCATGCGGAGTGCGGGGGCTGCGTGCGGGGATGGCTCCGGCACGCTGCTGAGCCGGGAAGCCCACAGCCCCCCCAGGGTCTTTGCTCTGCTGTCCCACGGCCGTGTCTGCCCCGCACAGGCCCTGCTCCCAGCCAGCAGCACTGTGGGAGCAGTAGGACAGGGTGAGGTGGGAGGTCCCCCGCGCTGCCTCCTCCTCCTCGGAGGCACTGGGGCAGCAGGCATGCCTGGGGCCATGAGCAGGCTGGAGGGCCATGATGAGGTATCACAAAGAGGTTGCCCTCACCAGAGCCACTAGCCCTGCTCCTGGGTTCAGCCTCAGGGCAGATGACCAACATGTTCCTGATATTCTCTGTCCCCATATTTATTTGGTCCATATTTCCCAAGGAAGCCCACTGGGTCCTGGCTGCACCGGGCTTCGGTGCAGAGTTCTTCATACAGTACATGTGTTAGAGACCCTGCAAGACCCTGTGCCACTGTCTCCTTCTCCTGGCCCGGAGCCGCCTTCACTTCTTCTCTAGCTGTTCCAGCAGCGGGTTAGCTTCACTCTCGGGCGTCTTGATGCTGTCTGTCCGCACAATGCAGGTTGGACGGTGCCGTTTCAGCATCAGGATGAGCTGCTGCCTCTCTTGTTTCAGCTCTTCTATCTGGGCCTTCAGCTCTGCGTTCATGAGCTCCAGACGCTCAGACTCCTAGCAGGGCCAGAAACACAACCACATATGCACTTCACTCACACCGGACAACATGCAAGGAGAAGCAATTTGGAAAGCCAGCTACCTCTGCTCAGCACTGTTCCTTAGCCCTCGCAGCACAGGGGTAGCCTGAAGACCTGCCACAACATCAAGTTCTTCCAGGCAGATCACACCTGGTCCCATTACCTTGTGTTACCAACACTAGAAAGATCCAGCCAACTGTCTCCTAGGACAGGCCCCTCCATTGCACAGCACATAAGGCTCTGCCTAGCTGATTTCCAGGGGCTAAAAGGAGTGTTTGAAAATGAACCTGCATTTTTCATCTTTGCAAGGTCCTGTCTGCATGGACCTGCTCTTGTGAAGCAGCTCCTTATCCCCAGATGTATCACTTGCCCATGTCTCACCACCCTTACAGAAAAGCTAGCAAGCTGGGGGCTAGGGGTGTTTTTCTGCCCTGAGCTCATAGCAAGAGCTTGTCTGGGCTCTGAGCAGGGAAACTGCAGGAGCTTCGGCAGGGAGCCAGCCTGCTGCCACTGCATGTTCTGTGCCACAAACCCATGGGTGTCCCTGATGCAGCAGGGAGGTGCCATCCCCAAGCCCAGAGTCCTGCTGT